GGGAAAGAGCATTTTTCTTGCACTGTTTCTTATTGTGAGACTGTTGGACTATGGGGGAGACCTGATCTGTGGGGAGAAGGGTTTGGGGCAGAGCAGCTGCATGAGCTGAGGGGAACATGCAAAGGTAAAAACTTGGCTCCATCTCCTATCTTCCCTCTGTTCTAGGTCTATAGTTTACTTCCTTCCTTGGGTCAGCTTGGCTTCCACAGGAACCCTCCAGGAGCTCGTTCAACTTCCTTAGAAGTAAAGAGGCTCAGATGCCTACCACACTCTAGACTTAGGTCAGAGTAATGATTTCCATGATGTTAAGCTGAGGACTAGCTACAAAACAATATGGCTAATCTTATTAGCCTTAAAAGAAAGACATAATCTGTCCTGGAGATTAGTATTTTTCTACTAAATACAAGGACTCTGGCATTTTCTATCAAATGGAGAATACTGTGGAGAGGGACACAAGCAGAGTTTAAGCAAGGTCTTTATCATCTCTGCATTGAGTAGATGAAGAATAAAAATAAGTTTTCTCAAGAATCTCAGTATTTCCCTCCTTGTACCACTTCCTGGCAAATGTCAGCTACACTGAGAACAAGTTAATCTGCCTTGTGGTGGCGGAAAGTCGGAATTCCGAAAGGACAAGACCATTTTTCATAATTTTCACCTTAAAATACCAACTCGCAGCGCTTAGCACTTGCTACAGCTTTTTGTGCTTTCTCTTGTTGAAAGCTAGATTTCTTTCTTGTGAGAGAAGCGCGCCAACAGAGATCACCAATGAAGTAAGAAGATAGTGGCCCACTGATGTGTGTAGATAGTCTAAAAGATGCTCCAAAGGACATGAAGTTTCCTGTTAACTCTCAGCAAAATATTTGTGGAATGCTAACATGCATTTTTGTACATTTGTTTTAACTAATGTGCTTCTGATCATTAAGCTGCCAGATGAATACACGCATTCAGACTAGGACAGACAGATGCTAAAATGCTAACTGACCGTTAAACAAGTACTCAGCTTTTTCCTGCTTTCATAATAATTATGCTTCATAATGTAAAACTGGGCAAACCACTTCAAGATTAAAAATGTAAGGCCATCAAAACAGTCATTTAATCGATTACCGAATTAAATCTCAGAAAAGACTGTTGTTGTCTGCTGCCATCCCCACAATTAAATACAGAAAACATCTATTCTGAACTTGAGCTGCAAAATGACTACTTTTCAAGTGTATTTTTGAGCAATCTGTGTAATAGGAATTTGCACATCTAATGACAATGGCTGCTAGAAGCTTCTAGGCAGCTATTTAAGCAGAACATGCAAGCTTTAAGAAATAAGCTTTTCAGAGAAATACAGAACTATCATATAAAAAATGGTGGAATCTTTTAACTTCTCAGTCAGCCTGTATGTAAGCGCACTTGTGTGAATGTGATTAGTTTCACATGTCAGTCATACAGCTATTTGCCTCTATGTGGTGGTGGGAGATCAAATTACTTGTAGAAGAAAAAAGGCTTTTTTCCTGAGTTTGTTTGGTTTGTGCATGTGTTTGTTTTGTTGTTGGTTGTGGGGTTTTTGCTGTTATTGGGGTTTTTTTGTTTGTTCGTTCTTATAAATAAACCCACCACATATTGGCAAGAATGCTCAAGCAAGTTCTTTTTAAACAAAAGCAGTCGGTGTAATTGAGGTTTTGGCATCCTTTCTCCTCTGTTCTCACCACAGTGAATAGGGAACCTGTGGTGCAACACCAAACGCTCAGGTACCAACCCTGAGGGGAAACTCAGTATGCAGGCTTAATCTCCCAATGCTCTGCACCCCATGCCTGTGCAGTGCTGGCCTTCTCATCTAAGCAAAGATACTGAACTAGACATTCAGCTAAAGCTAGCCACTACAGACTGCTGAGAAAATGTCAGTCTAAAACCTCAGTTCCCTTCATAACCTAAATGCTTGAGTCAGGACTACGTAAAACGTTTCTTAGTCTGTTTTGAGTACACTCATAAGAGCAAACTAACCAGTGTTTGGTCAGTGCACTGATCCTGAGCCCAAGGACCACAGTGTGCCCACACACTTGCTATTGCATCCTATTAACTGCCAAAAAAGGATGGCTATGCACAAGCTGCTCATGGGCAATTGACTACAGCCCCTGCTAACTGGTGATTTATGACAAAAATCACATCATATCTGAAAACACAACTGCTCCAGCGCCTGGAACTGCTCTGACACAGTCTCACAGCTTGTATTGATGCACCCTGCAGACATCTGTGTGCAGGTTGGTACAGAGCTCTTTGTGCTGTGAAAAACAGAAGTGTTAATTTCTATTTCTTTGGCATGTGCTTTTACTCCTCTGCTGATATGCAGAAGTAGTAACAGAGTGGCCTTCAGTTGCCTGAGTGACATTTTCAGAACATGATCATTTACCAATGTTTTACCGTGGGTGTTAGATATGCTTTGAGCATGTCTGCTAGAGAACGTCTCTTGGAGATGTACATCTCTCTTAGTATGGTTTCCAAAACCCAAATATGTTTAGTTTTAAGCCAGTCATCACATCAATGAGAATTCCATATAAAGAAAGAATTAAACCAGCAGATACGTAGGAAGCCACAAACAGGACAAATCACACCTATTCTTAGTCATGGAAGCTAGCCTAACTTTGATGGAACAAATGACCCTCAGGAGATGCCTTCTGTCCTTCAGCTCCAGGGGAGACTTGAATTATTTACTTAACCAAGGTGTTTAACTTTTAGACACATGAGGATGGCTAAATTGAATTTTACTGCCCCAGCCTTAAATCTACCTATACATTTAAAGTACATACTTAAAACTTATAAAATGCCGCTAAAAACCATGGGGGAAGCACTTAAGTGGTTAGTTGTATAGAACTCTGATATTAAACACACATACTTTTGAGGAACTCAGCATAGCAAAGTAATTAAGGATGTACCTAGATACCTTTAAACTGTTGTTACATGTTCTCTGCTAGATCATATCCACAGTGGTGCAAATATAACCATATATTCTTGTC